CACACAAACCAGCACATAAAAATTTCAGCTGTAGGATATCTAAATTGCCAAAGTTTTTAGTAACTCAAAACAGGCTCTTACAAAAGTTTTACCAGCTACCGGCTCTGCCTACAAATCTAACTTTAGAGGAAATACATTTAAGTGTTGAGAATAACAGCAGGATGGCTTTAGGACAATTCAGTGTGCTAGTAACAGTGAAGTTACAACTGAGTAGGACTGTATATACAACAGCTGAGATGAACTCCAGTAAAACTTTAATGCCCTACCATAACACCATCATTTTCTTTTTGCTAGATGTGTCAGACAAAAATGCTATCTAAGGCATTTGGAATTCAAGACTAGAAACCCCAGAGATGGCTTTTGAAATGTGAAGGTATGTGATAAATCTATCAGATAGTTCTGCAATTTTCTAAAGAGATGGATATGCCTTTTGTGCATATGTGCAGGAAAGATTCCTTTTGCCTACTCTACATAAGCTTTCTCTCCTACTAATATATGTTGAACACTGGCATTAAATACTTCAGCTGACTAACAAGAAACAGAAAATCCACTACAAAATTTAGAGACTGAAGAAAACGCATTTCATACCAGTAAGTGGAGTTATAATTTTGCCTTCATCTACTATCAAACTTAATAGTGGTGACTGTGCCACTAAACAGAGATGGCTATATTGAGAAGCACAGATAGAAAATGCAAATATTTGTTATTTAGCACAAATAACAAATATTTTGTTATTATTGATCATCTTCTACATTGGAAAACATTTCACAAAATCAGAAAGACTGGAACTGCATAAGAAGAGATAGCTTTTACCTGGCTCTATTTTGCTTATAAATATCAGGATATCATATTAAGTTCTCTGTTACAAAACATTGCAGTTCACTTGCATTACCATTGAAAAGTATAAACAAGCTTCAAAGCAAAAATATTTTGTAGGAATTTTTCTGTTACTCTAATTGAAAAATTTTAACCACTGTAGCACAACACAATATACTGCAGAACTCCTATTAAGCGTCAACAAAATTGCTTTGCTACAGTAATACAATAGAAAATAGGATTCAAAAGAAGTAATCTAATTTTTTATCTAATTCTAGTAATCTGATTTTATCAGACCTTACTTATAGCTGTGGAAATCAGAGTCTTAGCATTCTGCTTCAGAAACCAGCATAAATTGAAGTACTTCAGAGTCTTCCTTGATATTTTTCAGATGAGAGTGAATAATTTTGAATCCTGAATTTTGTATCCTGACCAAACCACTACTTTCTGTTCTCACCCATGCCCTTCAGTTGTTATGACTATACAGACGCTGGAGCCCCGGCTAGCTCAGAGAAACACACCAGCAACTGCACTAGGTGTGGGGAACTACCTTGGCTTTATCAGCACCCCTTTGAGCCTTGTGCTCAACAGGCAGGATTGTCAGCCACAGTCAAGGAGCGGGTAAAGGAGGAGGCTCTCGGTGAGAGGTTCCAGCAGAGAAAGGATTACTGCTGAAGGGAGTCAAGGACCAAAGAGCCCTGAGCACCGCTGTGCTCCAGATTTTAAACAGCAGCAACACAATGGGAGGGTGCAAACCAACAGCCAATGGGAAATCCAGAAGGGACCAGAGAAGGGAGGGGGTTACAAAGCAGGGATCAACAGGGATGAGGGGGAGGAGAGGACCTGTCACACAGGCCAATGGGGCCTCGAGGGTTAGGGGACTGACAGGGAAGGATCCAGAACAAAGGGCAGGGTTTACAATAATGGACAAGGGGTAGGGCCAGGGTTGTGGTGACAGGTAGGGAAGGCTCAGGAATAAGGGGTTGGGTTTACAATGAAGGGCAGTTCAGGGAAGGATACAACTCTTAGGGGCAAACCAACTTAGGAGGAACAGGGCACAAGAATGAACCATATAACTGACAAACTTACAACTGCAAATAAACTTAAACAGTCACCGCAACACAGAACAGCTACTTGTACATATAAGGCAAGAGAAAGAACATGGTCCATCCTGTCCTGGAGTGTGCTGTACTCTCTTGCTATTAGCATTCAATTTTTGTGGGTTTTTTTGAGTTTTGGGGGTTTTTTTACTCCTAGGAATACCATGCCATGTCAGTTAGCCAGTCCTTAACAGGGCTTCACCCTTCCTACCCTACTGCACATTTCCTCACAAAGACACTGTAATGGAAACGGTCATAAATGCTGGCGTGCTTTTTAATTATAAAAAATGTATCTGTCTCTAACACCAGGAAAAAAAATATAACACACAGATGTTCTACCTGAGAAATTGGCTATTGAGAATTGGTTACATGGATAACCAGCAACCCTGTTTTGGTGTCCACCTGCCTGATTCAGTTTGTGGCAAGCTCCTGGTTTCCCAGAGCATCCCACATCAATGTATTCTGTCTCTCATATAACTGAAAGGTCCATAACAATATGTGCTGTGGAACAGAATAATGTGGCTTTTCAGGAATTAAAAGGGAAGGGGAATTGTCATTCCAGGCCAGCTGTTTGGCCAATCCAGTTTGCAAAGACCATGAGTCCTGAAGCAGGAGACACAAAACTGCAATAATGACAATTACACTTTTCATTTACTCAGAAGTATTTTCTAGTACCTTACAAAGGTCAGAAATAATTTCAGTGCCTTTGAGAACTTCCAAAATAAAGACCTTCTTGATGAAAGGTAGAAGGAGAAAGAAGCCTACCTTTTTCATGATTTTTTTTTTTAAATTTGCAACCCTTTAGTCAGCAAATTTCAAGGATCTTGAAGAGAAAAATCCACTCTATAGAAATGAGGGGTTTATTCATAGTGTCATAAAAGGTCATATCAGATCCAGACAAAGAACATTCATTTGATTTTCTAGCCTCTCTCGTACCATATAGCATCACCTATCTAATTAAGAAATATTTTAATATGTATTTAACAATTTAATAATGCCATAGTTCTTAATGGAAGATTATAAAAGCTTTCTTATCACAGAACACAGTATTTTTAAAAAAAGCATCAGTAACTGGTGTAGTGGGTTGACCCTGTCTGAGTGCCAGGCATGCACCAAAGCCACTCTGTCACTCAGCTCTACAGCTGGACAGGGAGAAAAGAATATAACATGAAGTTAATGAGTTAAGGACAGGAGAGATCACAAACTGAACACCATCTCAGGGAAAACAAGACAAACTGGGGCTTTTAACTGAATTTATTACTAACAAAATCAGAGCAGGATAATGAGAAGTAAACTCAAATCCTAAAAACAACTTCCTCCTGCATCTCCCTCTTTTCTGAGTTCTTCCTCCTTCCCCCCAGAAGATGACAGTGAATGGAACTTATGCTCAGTTCATCACACATTGTTCCTACCACTGCTCAGGGAGAGGAGTCTGTTCCAACACAGGGTCCCTCCCACAGGAGACAGCTATCTATGAACTTCTCCAGTGCGAGCTCATCCCACGGGCAGTAACAGTTCCCCACAAACTACTGTAATGTGTATCACTCTTCCACAGGGTACAGTCCTTCAGGCACTGCCTGCTCCAGCCTGGGTCCATCCTGGAGCTGGCTGGCGTTGGCTCTGCTGGAAGCTTCCAGCAGCTTCTCAAAGAAGCTGCCCCTGTAGATCACATTGCAAAAATCCAGTCACACAAACCCCATACAACATGATTATCGGCTGCATATAACTGTAGAAGGCAGAAGCAATCTTGCATTTCGCAAATCCATCGTTAGTTTCTATCTTTTCTTCACAATACTAAAAAGAGCCCTGATACTGCGAAATATCCCAGACAGCATCCACCACAACCCAATGCCTTTAGAGAAAGTGTTATCAATTAGATATACATTCCAATTGTCACAGCTAAGCAATTTCTTAGACTAAAGGGATTTTGAGTGATTTCATGGTACAAGAAAAGACAGTTAATGTAACACAGAAAACTAACACTGTGACTTGAGGTGTCACATAGCAATTGAAAATATTTCACTGTCCAATTGAAAAAATAAGAATAATCATTGAAAGGCTTCAGTGAAACAAAGATCTGTATGCCTCATCATATAAAGGACTGGGTTTTTGTACACAAAAGAATCTTTGGGTCCATATATTCAGATTTTTTTGCAAGCAGAACCCTAGAAACAGCACTGCTCAGATTAAAATTGGATTTTGGAGGGCGTTTTTTCCTGTGGCAGACAGTCAGAAATCCTGCTGACTGTCCAATTTACAAGAAAGAGATGATGTCATTTTGATAATTCTGCCTTCTAGGTTCACATACCCAAGTTTTCTGACAAATTCAGACTTTCTGCTTTCTGTGAAACATCCAAAAAGGTCAAGATCCCAAAGACTGAAGAGAAATGGAAAGACAAGAAATGAAAGTACTTAACAACTCTGCATTTTAACACTAAGCTATGGGAGTGTGTGTGTGTGTGTGTGTGTGTATTCTGTTGAGTTCAGGAAAATCCAGCATCTATTCTTGATTCCTATAGGTATGATACAATAGTGTTCAAAATCACATAAACAGGAAAAATGTTGGAATTGTAGTAAAGTATTTATTTATTTTAAAACATTATTACATTGCTAGAACATTATTTCAAAATAAAAGCCAGAATATAGTCATTCAAAATTAGGCTGTTAAGCATATATATTTAAACTCTAATTTTCATACCCACAGTGAAAGAAATTTATACAAGTAGCCATTTTTAATAGACTTTATGTAAAACATGTTTAAAAATAACTGCCAAAATCTGTCTTTTTAAATATACAAAATATCCTTGCTGTGCTGAAGATACCTCTCTTAAAAGCCAAAAATATCTAAATCAATAGCTGAGTCCACATCAAATCCTACTGAAAACAGTAGCGACATAAAAATGTACAAAGTAAGGACAGCCTTTTTTGTCTCAGTACTGTACAAATCTGGTTTTATTTCAAAAATACTTTATAAAACTGCTATTTTTAACTTAATGTCCTTTCCTGTGTGCAGAAAAAAGTAAGCCACTGACATTATCTCTTGTTTACTAAAAGGTCTCCTTCTCAGAATTGTGAAACAAGGAATTCAGAGGGAATTTTACCATTTATTTCAATGAGAGCAGGACTGAAACTTTCCTTCAACATATCCTTTAGAAATCTCTCCTGGTTTTATGACACAAAACATTACAAATTCTTAAATACATTAACTGATGAAATCAGAACTCAAGTACTTCAGATGACAAGGCTGGTGTATGGATTAGTTCACTGTAAAAGTTTCAGTTAAATGAAATCCAATTGTGAATAATGCTGCATGCTTTTTAATCAAGAACCCTCTCTTCTCTTGCTTCCTTTATGGTCCTTTCTGGCACTTCTTCTGGAATGAGCTTTTTAAGAAGGTGCGGTATCCTGGATCATCCACATATTCATTCTTAAAGCGAGAACTCAATACTCTCTGCCTTTTCTTCTCTCCCAAGATAATATCTGCTCCATAAAATGTGTCTTCAAATCTCATGTCAGAAGCTGTAGACTAAAATCAGACATTAATCACACATACATACTATTTCATCTTTCCGTATTTTGCATGTCCTATTCAGTATTGAATTCTCTACATCAGTAGTGTTCCTTGAAAACACCTAATTAACACCTGTATCACACAGTCATGCTAATTCTAGGTGAGAAAACAGCAACATGGAAATGATGCAGCCATTGGGCAGGTTTGATCCTAGCAGTATCATGTAATATTCACCACTTTGTACCATTCAGGAAAGTTTTAAATGCAAGGTACTATGTCATGGGTACCTGAAAAGAAACCTGCCTAATTTGCAAAGGATCAGGGTCACGGTTTGGTCATTTGTTATCAGATTTAAACCAGTTGGAAATCCCCACTAACAAAGCAGTGGAACAACAAACAGCAAGCTGTTTGGGCAAAATCAGAAGCAAAATATTTTGGACCAATTTACTCTACTGGAGTCATGGAGGAATTCCCAAGACTAAGGAAAACATAATTTAGAAGGAACTGGTGTCTTTTACTTCAAGAGACAGAAACAGGATCATAGGCTATCTTTAACTTGCACTGTGTTCAGCATGAGGAGGGCAAGGAGGTGTTGTGTTGCTCTGAAAATTAAGCGTTCTGACCTTGTTTTCATATTTTCTAGCTACTTTCCCAGGAAAGTAACTATAAACATAGATGTCTTTACATTCTTTCAGAGAAACATCTTCTGATGGATGTTTCTCATGACCAGAGTGATTGGACAGGTGGTAACCTAACTATACAATCCGTGGTCATTGTCGAGAATCTATAAATACTTGAGTCACAAAAATAAAAACCTTCTTTTTCCCTTTCATACTTTGAACTGTGTCAGTGTGAATCATTTTGTGTCCTACAGCAACAGTGTTGGGCATGCCTTGAGGACTAACCTACATATTTCTAGAATTTAAGGTACTAGTGGAAAATCATGCAGTGGTCTCAGCAATGGTTGTGGTGTGTGTTCTTCAGCAGACCAAATTTAATGTTTTTAATTTATAGTTAACTCCCTAATGAAATTAATTTTAAAAAAATACAGAGACAGAAATACACATTTCTAAAAAATCAATTTTAAAAACAATAGCATATACCCCATTATTATCCTGAGAACGCAATTCTAAACAAAAAATGGCTATGGAATGCTTTCCATACATATATAATTAAAAGCCCCATTAAATATAATCAGATGGTTCTTTTAACATTCTCCAAGACATCTATGTTAACCCTAGTAAGGACATTGAAAGATTGTGCATTTATCCCAAATTCACAGACATAAAGGTTTCTTAACCCAGAATATTTGACCAGTGCACTTTGCATTAGAAAGAACTGTTTTAAGACAGCTAAAAATAGTCATCTCCTCCAACAAATGTATGGAAGAACTTTCCCTTTTCAACATCTAAGAGTTATGCTCTCTGTGAGGTTCAACACTTAGCCACTTGGCGTATATACATAAAAATGTAGCTGGTGGATGTTGTTTGAAACAGCAGGAAATTTTTTAAAAGTAGCAAAGATTTGGTTTTAAACCAAAGACTAGTGAAATGTTGGTAAGTCCTACCATCAATATTAATGAGTTTTGATTAGTTACACTGTTTCTTACAATAAGTTAATAGCCTTTTTATTAAATCAAGGCTTTTAAAATCACAAAGCTCTGAGAAGCTGGGAAGTTTTTTTAAAACTATACCTGTTATAAGCATCCTGAAAGAATATAATGTCAATTTAAATGTTTACTAACTTGATCATTCCTGATCTGACAGATCAGACAAACACAATGTCCCTTTTAGGAGAAAAGAATTATGTCTGACAACAGCATTTGCCTGTACTAGAAGAACAACTAACCATCTCACTAGCAAATGGACACATCTCCTAATTGGGTTGATTCAGCTGGTCTGAATAGCACAAGCTTCACAAAAAATGAGTCTGTTTAAACTGAAAATGCAAAATAAATCCAGTGTTACTGGCCTTTTGAGTAGATAGAGACAGACAGACAGACAGACAGACAGATAGATAGATAGATAGATAAAATTAGCATCAGCAAATACTCACTAAACGTGCTTTTACTCTCTTAGGAAGCTCTTCATCCAGTGTATATATTTCTTCTCTCTTCATTACTATTTGAGAACCATCTTCAAACTCCACCTAATTGAAAAAAATGGATTGAAAAAAAATAATGATTAACTCTTGCAGGAAGGTCCTGGAAATGTTTCCAGATAAAAATACATATGTAAGCAAAGAAGACATATATAGAAATTTTGCCATCTGTTTTAGCACAAAATTAGGCTGAAACACAAATAATGTTATTTCTTAGGAATTGCAGCACATACCTGCATTACCTACATTGAAAATAGTATCTAAGCAAAGAGACTTCAAAATCAGCACTGACACATATATAATGAAGTAAAATTTTTTAGATTAGGAATGCTGAACAGTAACCAGACAGGCAACATTATTTTGCAGGAGTGACATATTAAAATGTCCTTGTGTCATTTTTATTTGTCTCTAATTTTTTTACTTGCTACTAATAAATAAAAAATTAATTTTAACATCCTGTGATTCAAGGTTGAGGAAGACCATGTCAAAAGAAAGTGTGAGTGACAACTAAGGAAATACCAGTTAACAGAATTTTATTGAATCTGATGGAATTTCTTTTAAATGCTCTGTTCAGAAGATGAAAAGCTTTATCATGCTTAGGTTTAGATTTAATCCAATATGAACCCTGTTAGCAGAAAATGAGAAAGGAAATGTAACTAGGTGTGAGGAATGTTAAAATGCTGAGGCTTTGAAGCATTTAAGCTTTTTCAGTAGCTGCTGATTTTTTTCTCTATTTTAATACTTCATATAACAGTTGTGAATTTCAGCCATTATCTGTGACTGCAGTTTAGTTCCCACAGAAACTACAATTTAGAGTTTGGTATAAAATTAGAAGTGCCATTCTACATCCTTAGGTGATTTAATGAGACTATATGAATGACAACAGCACACTTGACTAGAAGAATAAGCACAAATATAAACACAGGATAATACTGACTTACCAAAAGTATTATTACAGATAAAACTGAAAAATCATGCATTTGAACTTGCAAATGGACTGGGTTTTTAGTTTCAAATTAAAAGCTTGCTATGGCTGAGTATTTCAGATTATAAGTGAACAGCTGAAAAATCCATACTCCCATTCTCAAAAGCCAGGATACAGATTATGATCTATTAACTTATTTAAAAACAATTTTTTCCACTGCAACTAATAGGGCTGCACAAATCTGGAATGCATTTAAAATGCACAGAGCGCACAAACGGATAACAAAGTCACAAAAGTCATCCTTACTCCTCTCTGCTTCTGTTACTAACCCCATAAGCCTACTCTGTTAGCAGTATGTTAGAGGAACTTAAAGGTCAATTTGCCTTAAGCTTGTTTAATTAAATTATGGCAGTCCAGGATGCAGGAACAGTCCTTTTGTTATTCCTGCTCCTTCCTGCACAATACATTTGGTAATGTTTTTGCATAGTACAGTTGGCAATAACATCTTTTGCATCTCTGGTGAAAAAATTGGGTAGGAAATTAACTCTGACACTCATGTGATAAGAAAATCTTTTCTTAAATGGGCAGTATATTTGTTTTTACTCATACTGTGCAGTACAATGCAAATGATTCATACTAGAGAATCTGTCATGCTTACAGTATAAAATATATTGCACATTTACGATGAAAAGTATGTGGAAGGTCTTCAGGAATAGTCCATCTTATCACACTGGAAATAATTTGTCTACACTTAGTAACAAACACAAGAGCTTCTCTAAGACTTTCAATAGTATCATGATTCATGCAAAATATAAATCCACTATCTCTAATAGCTCCATTTCAATTCAGATTGCAGATCCTGCATTTCAAATCATCAGTTTTATCAAGTAAGTTATTTCACTTGCATTCTGCTGCTGTACTGTCTCCATGATATGATATGATCATCATGAGATTTTTTTCTATAAGAACATCATAAAGGGCAAGCTGTTAGAAAGCAATTAATTGAGTGAATGGATAAATTAATTAGCTCAACTGTGAACCTCAGTATCAGAAATCATCAAAAAATCAGATGTAGATCATATTAGTAATTTCACTTGAGCACCTGCTTCATTTGGCAGGTTTAGCCCTGCTTACAGATTGGGTAGGATACTGGCTGACAAATGTCAAACTCTATGATACAAATTCTGGTGCATTGTGTCATAGTTCCTCCATGCTCAAGTACTGCCACTTTTGGTACAAATGGCTGATGAACATGAGGAAAAATCACAGAGTTTTCCAACTAGGACAGATTTGCCTTACGAGATCAAAGAAATCCCACAAAAGACTGGGTATGAGAATTTCAAAGGTGCAACAACAGGTCACATTAGATGAAAAGAAACTTTTGTGTACATGTGAGTCCTGGGACCTTTTAGACATTGTTTAGAAAGATCAGAGGAAGAACTACTACGTTTTGAAGTTAATCTTGCACTGTCCCTGTCATGAACTTTTTGTAACCTGTGGCCACAGGCAGCCTCCTCTCTCATCCTGGAGACAAAATACTTGCTTGTCTCTATAGTTCTATGTATTGCAATATGGACTCCCTCTAATCTTTAAACTTTGTCATTTCCCCCCATGATAGGGGTTGTTAAAGGCAATTTACAGGAATTTATGCTTGTTATGCTGAGGAACTCTGAGTCTCCTTTAGGCTTGCTATGCTGAGCCTCCACATGCTTATCCATTTTCCTTAAACAGAACTTGTTTCATCATGTTGTTCAAGAGGTCTAAAATAAGACAAAGTTGTTTGTTTTGACTATGTCAAATTCCTTCAAATGTTAAAGACAACAACATTCATCTGGTTTACCTCACAGTATTCCTCAGAAGACTAGTCGTTCAAAAGATTAAATGATTTGAAGATTAATGTTACTATAGAAAAATAATCTTTATGCTTTATAAAGAACTTTCCACCTTCACAACATAATACAGCTGCTAAATTTAAGGGAAGAGGAAGATTTAGAGACTAGCTCAAGGCTTTAGGCATTTGAGGACTTGAATTGGATTGCAAGTCATTGGCAAAGTGAGAAGGTCAATGCAGCAAGTAATTTAGCTTCCCCATGCCTTAATTTATCTAGAGATATAATAGTAAATTTGCCATTTTGGTACAGTAATGTGAGTCCCCTGATGAAAAGAGTTACATAAGTGAAAATGATTACATATATATAAAAGAAATGTATCTAGATTCTCATTCTTTCAGAAGTGCTATTATTATTATTGTGATTGTTTTATTGCAGTTTCTACCATTCACTTGGGTACTCAAAGCTGCTGACTGATTTTTCTCAAAGGCAAGCCCATAAAAAAACAGTAATTGCTGTTCTGAAATCAGAAGTCAGCTTTTTAGCTTTGCTTTCAGTGTTCAGCTCCCTTTTGCCTTTGCTTAGAATAAAATGCTCCTTCGATTAATTAATTAAAAAATGCCTCTGACGAATGTGATGCTTTTCTTCTTACTGCCCTCCCTTCCAACCACTTATGAAATGCCTCAGGTTCACTGTAGGCTCATACCAATACTTAATTTTATGTCATTAATCGTATAATTAGCTGATATCAAATGAAAGTAAATAAACAGAAAATAACAAATGTTACTTTTCAATCTCAATGTTCCACATCTTTACCCGAGCTCTTAGAAAACAATTTTCTTGATTTTGTAAGACCAATTGAAACCTCTTTCCCAAACAGTGCACAGCACTTGTTACTGGGTTAGAAAGCTTTATGTACTAGTTAAAGTGTGGTAAATAAAGTTACATTTTACATAGTGTTACATAAATAAAGTTACAATAAGAGATCACACTTCAGCCTTCTTAATCTTTGAAGGTATGGCTGGCCACTCCAATGCTAGAGCCAAATGAGTGAGTTACAATAGACCTCTGAAAAGGAAGTGTATGTTAATAAACATAGATACTCACCTGATACATGTGAGCTGTATTTGTTCCCAGATACTTTGCACTGTACAGTTTTCCATCAGGCCATTTCACTTGGACAACTTCTCCCTCTGCAGGTGGACCCAGCCTTAGGCAATCTCTGCTCTATTTATAAGAAAGATGGATTCTCAAATCAGTGAGTGAGCCACTGCACTGAAATTACCAGTAAGATGCTTTTACAACTCGGTAATTGGCACAGATTTATTGCCATGCATGTTTCAAGTTTTATAATCTTGCTAATGGGCTAATGCTAATGTTAGTCCTTACAAAAATGAAATACTGACCAAAGAAAGAAACACTCTCTTTAACAGCTTGATGCTGCATTGGCAAGACAACATATGCATAAATCAGACAGCTATCAGCAACTATGATACACTTCCACCAAAATTTATTTCTAACACACATTGAAAACAAGGACCACTAAAGTGCAAAACCGTGTGCAACCGTGTTTCTCTCTTACATATCCAAGTAATTCATGTTTCATTAACCACTGCACATTTTTTGCTGGATGCTATCTTTGCTGACTGAAACAAATGTGGATCAAACCATAAATACTGAAAATGCCAATGAGTTTTTTGCTTAGCTGATGGAGAAACACTAAAAGAATCCAAATGCTTACAAAATAAAATCAGGAAGGAATTTTTCTTCCAATGGTTTGGCCAACTTTTGTGCCTGACTATTGAGCATGTCAGAGCATCAGTAGCTGCAACATGTTCCTGTAATGGTTTCTTTTGTCCCATACATCGCATTGTGACCTAAATGACTCATTTTCAGAGCATGCCAACCACACACCCATAGCAGCAGCTTCTCACATGAAGAAATAAGGCAAAGGACCAGAAAATTATGTGACACATTTGGGCTCACCAATTCTCCATTCAAATCCTCACCCCAAAAAAAGGCATCTCTACTTCATAGTGACTACATCACAAGACCTGTCATGTAAAATAGTGCTGAGTGGTATTCTCCTGGGTGCGAGAGGACTTACTCAGTGACCACATTACCTGAGCTCACTCGTAAGTGGTCTACAGTGGGAAAAGATAAAGACAAGGACTCAGGTTTAAGGACTCAGTGACAAGGTCCTGCAGGACCTGATACTATCTTAGGTTGCCACAATAGTATCACTGTTTTCTTAGATTTACACAGAATAACTTATAAAAATGTTTGTATTTTGAGCTGAACAATTCAATTCCAACAGAGGCCAACGATCATCATGACAAAGAACTTAAAAGGTGGGAGAAAAAATGCACTCCAGTGATCCTCACTTGGACATTATCTTGATGTAATATCATTCTAGCCAAATTCAACCTTTATAAACTGATTTTAATCACATGTATTTTAATCCATTATTTGATCTAACATGGGATAAAAGAAATTAAAAGCTGGATTTTCACAGAAACACTTCTGGGCATGGCAGTACTGTCTGTGTCACCCTCAGGTGCTATGCAAAGGCTTTAAAAAATGCCCTAGGTTTGCCTGGCAAAGGTTGCTGTGACAAACAGAGAAGATATATCCTTTCAATGTCACCATACATTGGAATAAGTGGAATTACTGTATTACCCTTCCCAATATTTTCAGGAGAGGCAGGAGGAAAGGATGGCTGCTGCAGTGGAATAATTATGATTTTGCAGGGGATAGGGATTACTAAATACTATCATAGCTCTGACTATAAATTAAATTAGACTGTATTCTTAGTTGTTCTCTCCTCAGTGATTCTTGTCAAAATAGTTATTGTCATTATGATGCTTCTTCCACTATCTATTTATTGCAAAAGTGCAAAAAGGAGTCTTGGCTAAGTGTCTTGAAACAAACTTTTAAAATGCATCATAGAATGGAGTAAATTTCCTGAAAACAAACAATCCAACAACAATGTCAAGCCTAACATTAATTTTCCAAGAACAAAAGCCCAGCATGAATTACTCCCTTTGCAACTTGCACAAGAAAAGATATCTCACAGAGTCTAGGACAGCTAATGGAATTGCTCATTTGGAAAATTAGAGTCCTCATGCAAATAACTAGACAAATAACAACCTCATTCTTCATGTATCATCACAGTGTCTTAGTCTATGGAACAATATTTGGGAAATTGGTACTAGTTCTTATTAATTTCTAGCAGAGCTCCTGCCCTTTATTTTCACAGGATCATAACCATTTGAGATTCTTTTTTCTTTTTTTACTGCACACATAATTCTTACCATTTTTTTCTTGGGAATGATAAGACCCATTTCTTAGACTGACAAAATGGCAAAAATGCAACCTCACTTCTTCCAGTCACATAATAGAAAGTCAGACAGCATACAGTTGGTATAGCAATCCTTCAACATCCCCATACCAGCTGTAAATAACATACAGCGTGGCTCAATCTACATTCAGCTTATAAACCATGCACATTTCCTGTACAATTACATAATGTATTTTCTTCTTTATAGGAATGGACAAATCATGCCCGTCTGTACTGAAAATACTATTCACTTATGTGTCCAGTTTCACATTCCTGCTATTGCTCAAAGCTCCAACCCCAACCACAACTAGCTAACTCTAAAGATGAATACTTCAAGGCCTCCCTGGGCCATTAATCCAGCATTCAATAACCCTCACAGCGAAGAAGTCTTTTCTTAAGTGAAGAAAAATCCTGTGTTGTGGAATTTCCTGTATTTCAGGTGGTACCTGCTGTCTTTCATCCTGCCACTCTGCATCACCAAGAAGTGTGTGGCTTCATCCTCTTTACCTCCCACATCACATGTTTACACATTTGGATAAGATCCTTCTGAGCGTACTGCTCTCCTGAACAGTCCCAGCTCTGTCAGTCCCCTCTTAGGACAGTTGCTTCAGTTCCTGCATCACTTTCATATACTTTTTCCATACTTGCTCCTCTATGTCCCCATCCTTCCTGTACAGGTAAGACCATAAATAGACACATTAATGTAGATATGGTCTCCCTGGTGTTAAATTTATACCCATTCAAAAAGACACTTTAAGAGCAAAACCTGTAAATACTAATACTAATGCTAATACCAATAATAATTCTGGAAGTTTTCTTGTTTATTAAAGGAAGTACTTTCTGGGTTTAAAAACATTTATTTTGGAATTCATTATATATACTGAACTAAAATCGTAAACAATCTATTTGCAATAGATGTTGGAAACACATGTTAAAAACTGGGGGTGCTCTCTATGCTGTCATTAAGGAATTCACATGAACAGCACTGCAGATAAAGAAGACATTTTTTTCTACTTTTCTTCTGATATTCTGTTGCTTTTACCAGAGAGGTTGATTTGGTTTATTAAGGCTGGACAGGGAATTTTCAAGTAACAAATCCAACTGCAGTGGCAGATGATGGCTGACACAGAGTAGGAACTGTGGAGCCACTCTAAGAAAATAGAAGGAAGACTGCACCTGAAGCATGCACTGAAATCCAGTAACTTGAAATGTTGAAATGTTCTCATAATTTGAATACAATCCCTGACACTTGAAGAAAATATCTTCAAATATGCTGAAATGCTTTCCTGAATTAAGCCAAAGAGGTATAGATATTCTGGCTTGAGGTGAACTATTTACAAAGTATTGAGACTATTCTCCCAAGCTTTCAAAAGCTGATGTATCTTGGATGCCTAAGATTTTATTTCAACTATGTTTTTGGTTATTAAATCAGCTATCTCAAACTCAGAAATTATTTTTAAAATTTTAAGACTGTAAGAGACTTTGACTTTTAGATTTGATCCAAAGAAGCCAACTGAAACCAAGTATCTACCCCTGAACCTCTATACAGGCTTGCAGAAGCAGTGTTCCTTTCACTGTATGCCAAGCACAGGTTTGTGTCTACCTGATGAAATTGAATAGGTACCAGTCTATGGGGACTGATGATATGCAACCCAGAGTCCAGAGGGAACTGGCAGGTGCTTTTCCCACATCATTCCCTACCACATTTGAAAATTCAGTGCAGTCAGACAAAGCTCCTGGTGACTGTAGAAGGAAACATCGCTTCTATTTTTAAAATTAGGATAGAGTCAGGAAAATACAGACCTTTGAGCCTTACCCTGTGCATCAGAAGATCATGGAGCAGATCCTCATGGAAGACATATTAAGGCACATGCAAGACAAAGAGGTGACCCAAGAAAGCCAGAATGGCTTCACTAAGGGCAAATCATGTCTGACTGATCTAGAGGCCTTCTATGATGGTATCCTGGTTCTGGCCATGACAGGGTTAATTCTTGCAATAGCCAGGAGGGGTCATGAATAGGGCCTGGAGGTTTTTCTTTAGCACCTCATGTCATTGCTGGGCACAGGGTAAGAGAATCTCTTCAATGGAGAAGGAGTTTCTTGCAGTCAGTGTGGTATTGGAAGCTGTCTGGTACTGTGTATTGTCGGGGAGGGCACTGGTCGTTGTATCTCAAAAACTTGTTTAGAAATAGGAGAATGTGGCCTATATGGCATCTTTTAGGGGGGGGTATAAACCAAACAGTAGACAAATGTTTAAAACTGCATCAGAAAACAACAGAATTCTAATAGAAAGTCACCAACACTTATCCATTCAAATCAGGGGTCCATCACATCCCCTGTCTGTTGTTTATGGTTTGGATGATGTGATTCTACTCTGACTCAAGAGAGGATAGATGAGTTATAATTATGAAGATCACCAACTTGACCCTGCAATTGATAACCTAGACTAGTGTGTTTGCTTTCAGAGTTGCTTTTGCCTCCCTCTCATGTTTTTGCATAAGCATTCTGTAGAACTTCTATCAGAATGAACAAAATCAATATTCATTTTGATCAGATCAGAGTGGGAGATTAGTAAACTCAGTTCTCACATCTGTGCTCTTACAGTAGGCTTACTAGAGGAGAAAACAATAAAACATTGCAAGGTAAAAAACATTTGCAATCAATAGGTAGCAAGTCTGAAGAACTTTCTCTAAAGCTAATGAATATTCCTGAGACATTTCCCTGAACATAGCCCTAAAAATTCACATGTATAAAAAACCCAATACAATAAAGATTTATTTCTTTTCCTATGTATGAAAAGATAAGGCCAACAACTTTGAAAGGCGTTGAAGAAAAATAAATTTACAGTATACAGTATTAAATGTGAGTATTCTCTGCAAGTGGTTCC